AAGATGGGCAACAAGTGGCCGTTCACATGAATTGCCGGGCGAACAAAAAAACAATAAGCAATTACTAACAAAATTCCATGAAACAAATCAATTTAAATTTCTATTACAGTTTATTTAATTATATTTTACAATTTTTCAGTTTTGAAGAAATATTTACATGTATAAATAATATTACATATTATATTTTTATATAAATAAAACATACTATTTCCATTTGTATTTTTGTTTTTAATTTTCTTAAAATTTTTTATTACATTATGTACACTGTGCACTGCAATTTGTTAATGGCAATTAACACAAACGTTGCTGCTAAATGTTGAATGTTGCCAAGCGCGCGTTCGCTCTCTCTCCCTCTAAGTGGCGCTCTCTCGCAACACGCCGTGTTTGCCTGCCTGCCAGTAATGTTGCCAGCAGCAGGCTGCAGCAGCATGTTGCTAGCCGCCTGGCCGTTATTATTCAACGTTTTGCTATGCCGCCGCCGCCGACGCCGCAGCCAAGCGAGCGAGAGAGAGAAATGAGCGGCCAGTCGCCGCGCGATTTCAGTTCATTCTCATTTCGTTTGCCGTGGCGAGTGGACGTTGTCTGCTCTCTCATTGACTGTCGCCGTTGCCGTTACCGTTGCCGCCGTCGTGTGCGTGTTCTTCGTAATTTTTAGTTAACTGTGGTAACACGTTCCGCGACGTTCTTAACGTTTATCGCATCGGTCACTCTACCAACACACATATATATCTCTATATGTGCAGCTGTGTGCGTGTGTTTGTGCCAGTTAGACAATGAAATATTGGTAATACTCATTTCTGTTTCTGTTTCTGTTTCTGTTGTTTTTTCCGTTATTTTTTGTCTGCGTTTTTTCATATATTTTTTTTTTTTCAACAAAAATAACTTTGTGACATTTTTAAGTTGCCTTTTGTCGGAAGAATTTAAAAATAAACAAGAAACTGGGCAAAAATGTGCTTGAACAAATTTGTTTTTTTTTTTTATCACGTGCTTTAAATTGTTAATAAAACAATTTTTTTTTAAGCAAAGCAATTTACTTTTTTTTACGAAAACAAAAAACAAACAACGTAAAGAAAATGAAAACAGGTTTTTTTTTTTCCCAATTGAGCGACTGACGCCCAGTTTTTGTTGTTTTTACAGCTACAGTGAGCGTTGAAAAACTATGGCCAAGAGCGTGAAAACTTTAAGTTATAACAAGAGTTAAATTACTAAACAAAAGAAGAAAAGAGTGTTGTTTTTTTTTTCTCTCAAATAGAACCTTGCCAAGTTAATAGCTGCTAGCATTTCAAGGCCATTTCAATATTGATTGAATGTAAATTATAACGAAATCGCCTGCGACTGGCGCCATCTGCCGCTCGAACCTGTTGCAGTTCAAGGACATTTGCATAGAGACATGCAATTTAGCTAAGCTTTAAATGCATCTGCTCTCCCGCTCACACGCACACACAGTGTGTGCGAGCTTTGTTGTGTGTGTGTGTGTGTGTGTGTTTGAGTGAGTCAGTTGAAGTGCTTATCGTGCGGCCGTTACGAAATGCCTAAACAACAAAAATTGCAACAACAAAGACAAACAAAACTGAACGCGCGCTTTTGACGCGCTCTCTCGCGCTCGTTCTCTCTCTCTCTCTCTCTTTGTCTGTTTCATGTTCACTGATGTTCACAAAGAGAGCGTCCACCCACACACATCACACATATGTACATATGAAGAGCAGCTACCTGCATGATAAAAATTATTGGAAAAATCAAGCAGCAGATAATCTATAAAAAAAAAAAAATTCTTTGTGTTTTTTTTTTCTCCTTTTGCTATTTAAGTATGCGTTATGCATCGCCCGCCTCTGCTGCTCCTCCTCCTGCTGCTGCTGCCGCTGCGACGTGTTTCGACTGCAGACAGCGCCGCAATTTCCGTTACAAAAAACTGGCCGGCCAAGCAGCGACGCTTTACACACATGTGTGCGTCGCCGTCGCCGTCGCTGTCGCCAGCAGGTTTACTGCGGCCAACTTTAGAACGCAAAGGCAAAGAGGAAAAAAAAAAAGACAAAGTCAAAGCGCAAATGTTACACACGCACACACATACGCTCGCTCACGCACACACACACACACACACACATACGCTCATATGCGCTCACTCATAATCGCCTCGCACTTGCGACTCATTCAGAGACAAGTTTTTCGCCGTTGCTGCTGCTGCTGCCGGTTCCAGTCGCCGCTGTTGCTACAAAAATCGCTCGTGTGTGACGCAGCAGTGACGGCGACGGCGACGGCAACAGCAACTGCGATGCGTTTTTCAACGTTCTTTGTTGTTGAGTCAGTTGCTTGGCCAAGAAGTAAAGGCCAACATTTGGCATTTTAACGAACTGCGGCTTAGCGCTAAATCCAATTGTCAGACACTCAGACATTTCGCTGCTGTTCGCAGTCGCCGCTGCTAACTAAAGTTCAACAGTAAACTCAATTGCCTCTTCCTCCTGTTTCTCATTCGATCTGTTTGCCACTTGCAAAAGTTGCTAAGCTCATTCGTTAGTTTGTCACTCGTTACTCGTTAGAGTTTTGGAAAGAGTTTGACTTTGAGCGAGTTTGAGCTAGAAAAAGTGCAAACTAAAAGTCTCTCTCGTTTGTTAGCTACTAACGAGTAAATACTCGTTACTCGTTGGAGTTGCCAGAGTTTTTTTTTTATGTTTTCTTTACTTTTACTCGTTGCGCGTTATTCATAAAAGTTTTGAATGAGCTCGAGTTTGATATGGAATCGACCTGCCACTCGTTCGTTTCTTTACTCGTTACTCGCTGATCGTTACTTTTGCCCAGTGCATTACTCGCCTGAGTTTCTTCAGTTGACTTGGCCACTTACTAATCATAAGCCATACACTTTTGCTTCATTTCAGATATCACACACAAATCGCATTATTAACTTCAGATACAATCAGCGAGTCGCGTTCGCGCTCGCTCTCGCTCTCGCTCTAGCTAATTGCAAATCGCCAACGAGTGTCTGTGACCAAAAAGTGCGCAAATTATAATCAAAAGAATTCAAATTCAATTCAAATCACATTCAAGCAACTGCAAATTTTTTATACATTTTTTTTACTGTGTGCAAGAACGCAACAAAGCGAATAAAACAAAGAAGCGAAGAAGGCGAAAAAGAAACTGCAATAAGAAATTAGTGAAAAGCAACAACAACAAACCAGAGAAGCAACGACAAAATGGGCCAACTGCAAAGGCAGCGAGTGGCTCGACTCGCCACACTACTCTACGTAATGCTCTGCAGCTGTTTGACTATAGGTGAGTGCTATAATTTTATAATTAGACACGAGCGAACGCTGCAAAATGAAGTTGTAAAGCGCAAATTGCATTTTCAATCAACAAACTAAAAAAAAAAAATGAAAACCATATAACGTTTAGACGAATGGCCTCTTTAAGAAATTGAAAAAGAATGGAGGAACAAAAAAAAATATATATCTATCGAAACTAATCATAAAACTGTTTTGCTGCATCCGTGGAAAAGCGAACTGGAGCAGGGTAGATTGGATACGTGGAAATGTGACTGAGAGTAGGAATATATATGTATATGTATAGCTAATCGACTGCTATGATCTATTCCAATTTCTATGAATTCGTCAAGCATTCGTAAGCTCTGAACTTGGAACTGATCAACAAAATATTCCTATATAGTAAGTTTATAGACCTACATAATGCATCCAAGTTAATGCAACAGGGTATTTTCTAGCCATGCACCTCGGCTAGCCCATCTCACCTGATTTCTTATTCTTTTCACAAATTTTCACTTTAATATGTCCCGTATAATACATACATATAAATGGCTCGCTCTGGGACTACTCAAACGCTAAGTAAATACGACCCAAAAGAAGAAAAAACACATTTCGTAGAAACACAAATGAAATCCCTAGGACTAGGCCTAGGCCTAGGCCTGAAAACTCTTATCGCTCGACGTCAATATTTATTCAGCGAGTCGCTCTTATCGCACACACACACACACACACACACATGCTCAGGCACAGACGTAATCGAGATGAGCTCTAATGCAAATATAATAAAAGAATCGGGGCCGCTGGATCTGCTTGTATTACAATTGTCGCAATTGTCGTTCCAAAGTCTTGTTTTTGGCTAAATGAAATTGAATTTATAGCCAATGCGACTTCTGGGCTGTCATAAACGTTTAGTGCGCAAATATTTGCCCAGCGAATGTCACAGAGATGATATTACGAAAACTCTATTCCCGCTATCTTATGGAATAAACCAGAATTTGTACATCTGAAAGGCATAAAAGTACTTCCCAAGTACAGGTGTTGTCTAGGCAGAGTTTGCGACCTTCGATTGTGATGCTAAATGTAGATACCTTATATACCATATATATGTATATGATATATCGTATATACAATATAGTATATCGTATAATACCATATTCTTGTACCTTACATCGTATGCCTCGTATCATGCAGTATGTTTAGAGTCACATATCTGATTATATATCGTATATATTATATATACGATAGTATATCGTATCTGTTATACATTTATATATCTTATATCGTAAGCAACTTTTAGTAAATTATCAATCGAATGAAGCTCACATCGTAATATCGCATAGTGTACAACATAGATCCGACTATTAGATATCATATTTTCTATAGTACACATAGAATGCAATATATAATAGATCTTGGTATATTTTGTATTATATGTATGTTTTTTATTACTTTTTGTATTTTTATGATTAATAATTTACCAGAGACATCTTCTTATAGACAATTCGAGCGTTGCACTTTACACATTTATAAAAAAAAAATAGATGACACGAGATTTTCCAAGTTTGTTTTGTTGATTCTCCTTTAGTTTTTGTCTGCGTACGAGGGTGAGTTTTAGGTACAGTCCAGTTGGCTAATACAAAGGAAGCGGTGCCTTACTGAAGTCACGTTCCCTTTCCAAATTTGATAGCTAAAATATTTGACATCGTTGCCGAACGATTTGCTTCCGGTTGCGTTGACAGATCTGTTGAGGCTGTGGTCCATTCGGGTCCTGGAATACAGCAGATAGATTGGGTGAATGAGGTATACAATAATCGATCGAGAAGGAGGGTGTAGGAGTATGGATTTGCTCTACTTTAGGCAAAAGAGTTAGGAACCCATAGATGTGGGAGATCCTGGGAGATTATCATATGGTAGAAACTCACCCGGAATTTCTCTGTAGGCAGGCACTAGGTTGCTCTAGCCGAGTATGAGTCCGACGCCGAAGCGAAAGCGACTGCTGAGATGGTTCATCTTGCCGCTGAGCTGCAGCAGAATGGGCAACGGCTCGAGCCGCTTCTCGCAGACGGCGCTGATGACGCCGCGCGTGTCGATGCCGCCGCGAAAGCTGAAGCCGGCGGCCGGCATGTGACAATGGTAGCAGAGCCGCGAGATGGCCTGACGCTTCAGTATGTTCGCCTGCAGCTGAACGCTGGCGCCCAGGCTCTGGCCATAGAACTGTGTGTAGCAGAGCTCCAGGGCGTGCATGCTGAGCATGCCGGACCACTGTCGATTGTCCTGCTGGTAGCGCGCCACAGCCGAGACCAGCGCCGCCTGGCCGCCCGGCACAATGTCCTCGCGCTGATAGATGATGTCCACGCCCAGTGCCAGCTGGGCGGTCACCTGCTGCAGGTACGAGGCGACAAAGACGCCCATGCGCTGCATCACATCGATGTTGCTCAGCACGCAGGTGCAGCTGTAGTCCTCGCCGAAGTAGTCAATGAACAGCCGCGAGTTGTGCACCATCGAGTCCAGGACGGTCGCCGAGAGCTTGGCCCGCCAGCGCGGCGCTATGAAGTGCATCAGGTTGGCGCTCACGTTGCCGCGGGCGTCCACCTCGCTGATCAGCATCGGGTAGGGCTCGCCGGTCAGCTCGCTCTGCTGGTCGCCCTGGTAGCTGCAGTTGAACTGGCAGTCCATCGTCTGCGGCTTGTTGCCCGCGTGCAGCGTGTGGCCCACGGTGAGGTAGCTGCCCAGCGTACGGTTGACGCTCAGCCGGAATCCGTCGAATGTCTGCGGCATCATGTCGTGGCAGCGTCGATGGAGATCGGCCACAGTGCCCGGATTGCCGAGCCGCTCCACAGGGGACAGGCCGCCTAGCCAAGATACGGGCGTGGCCGTGGAGCCAATGGGCCGACTCTCCGCCACGGATATCGATTTGCCGTACTCATCCAGCTGCTCCTGCGGCCCCTGCTCCAGCCGTATCTCGTGCCGTCGCTCCCCGGCCAGGTCGTAGCCATCGCCCTCGTTAGCCATGCGTATGCCAAAGAACCGATAGAATTTCTCCTTGTCCATTTTCTTTTGCAGCTGCTCCACCAGCTCGGGCTGTGTTGTGTATATGTTGCCCATTGCTAGTTCTAGTTCTTGCTCTGCCACAGATCTGCGGATTTTGGTATTGTGTTTAGACATCGGAATCGGTTAACTCCCAGGCCCCCGCCCTCCTAGTCGCTTGACCACTAACTAAAAGAAAACTGCGACCAATTACCACATCCGCTTCATTTGTCCAACCAACATTTTTTTTTTCGCTTTCCTCTGCTCCACACTTCTCTACTGTACTCCACTCTGCTCTACTCTACTCCACTCTCTCTCTCTCTCTCTCTCTCTTTTTCGCTTACTTTTGTATCGTCATCAGCCTCTGTGTACTCTGCGGCTTTTTGTCTAACCTTTCTCTAAGCGGTCAGGGAGTTCGTCGCAAAGGGGCCCATACCGGTATTTGCTGCCGGAACTGACTAGACACAGTTCTAATGACAACAACAACAATAACAACAACAACAACAGCAACGTCAATAGAAGAGAAAAGATATACAAGATGAGCTTAACGAATTCGAAATGTACTTGCAGGTGGCTTTACTTGCGGGTATCTATCAAGCTAATTTGTAATGAAAGCAGAAAGGGGGAGAGAACCAAAGAATGACAGAGAGGTTGAAGACAACCAGAGAGAGAGAGGGAGAGAGAGAGAGAGTAATTGAAATAATTAGATTTAAAGCATTACAAAGTTGGATATGTAGAGAATGGAAATGTACAATATTAGTAGTACTAATTTAAAGAGTGTGATATACTACACTTTTTGGTATATGTACGAAGTATTATACATGGGATATGTAGTATAGCATGGTTTATAGAGTCTACTTCTATTTTGATACATTATTGTACATTTTATTACTATGTATACTTCTACTACTATTTGACATACTACTATATATACTACTACTACTACTACTATTTGACATACTACTATATATACTACTACTACTACTACTACTATTTGATATACTACTATATATACTACTACTACTACTATTTGACATATTACTATATATACTATTTGTATACTACAATATATACTACTACTACTATTTGACATACTACTATATATACTACTACTACTATTTGATATACTACTATATATACTACTGCTACTATATGATATACTACTATATATACTTTTACTACTATTTGACATACTACTATATATACTACTACTACTATTTGATATACTACTATATATACTTCTACTACTATTCGATACACTACTATATATACTACTAGTACTACTGTCTGATATATTACTATATGAATTGCTATTCTATGGATATACTACCTAACGAAATAGTACTAAATTAATTACTTTTGCATTATAGTAGTTACTACTAGAAGAAAGACTATACTACTAAGTCATACTACTTAATTACTACTGAATAACAAACTACTACAATTAGTATTATATTGCATACTGTTAAATGAACTACTTGAATATACATATGTATATGCTACTATTTGAAATACTGCCTAATGAACTACTACTATAAAATATAGCATATACTACTCTTTAAATAGAAAATCTCATATACTGCCATATATCGTGGTACCCTATACTGTAAATATACAATACATACTTGAAGACTTTTTATGCTGAGATGATACTACTACTACTATTTAGTATTCAGTCAACATACATATATGTATATTATATAAGCTACATCCTTATACTACTTCTTTTCCAAAGACAGATGTTATATATCTATCTATATAGATCTATCTATAGCATTTAGTGGCTTCAGTTGCTCTAGAGACTATCTGCAGCCAACTCCCGCTCAAGACTCTTCTGCTCTAGGGGCGCTGCGTTACACATGTCATGCGAAGCTCGCGTTGCCCCCTGCAAAGAGTATAAGAGAACAACAGAGAAAAAAATACAAAGAAAATTATAATGAAATTAATTAACGCAACTTTTTTTTGTGAACGAACATGTCCAACATTTTCCTTTTCTTTCTTTTTTTGTTGTTGTGCTGCTCTTTAACTGTTGCTGTGGACAAGTTCTGCGCTTGTATTTCAGCTCTTTTTACTGAATTTTTGAGGCGACATGAAAAGAAGTCGTCATCGTGCCGCATGCCGCTGGCCGCTGGCCGCATGTGCCTCAATTGATGTTGCAAGCGCATTAACCTACGCTCGTTGCATTAAACGGTTCTTGTTTCATATTTATTTTATGGCTGCCCGGCCGGATGACAAAACACAAAGTCTTGGAACTTCCCGAACACACGTTCCAATTAGCCCAGAGCCCAAGAACTTGGGAACTAACCCATTTAATTGCCCGCCCAGCTTTCACTGAAGCCTGAGAAAAGTCAAAGAGCTGAAAGACAACTGAGCAGAGCGGCAAGCGACGAACAGCGAAATGAGACAAAGTGACTTGAGCAGAGAAATTAGCAAACAATGCGAAAAAAAATAAAATACCCTGTAAAAAGTATATCTCATGGGACTAGCTCAGGGAGTTTATAAATGCAGACTGAGATGAGATAATCTGTTGACTTAAAAACCCTAGCTTAAAGCAGTCAACTGACATTTATCGATTACATTTATCGATATGGAATTTATCGATATGTTTTGGCTTGAGATTCACAAATTTTAGACTTATTTTGTTAAATACTCCATTGATGTCTGCATTAAACAGTAGAAAAGTGTAGATTTGACTTATCGATAACTTATCGAAATAATGCAAAATCAAGGAAAAGTATTTGGGAAACAAGAAAACGTGAGTAGAAAGCAACTGCGGTTCGGGAATACATTTACATAGAATTATGTATATGCCTAAAGAGAAGTAAATTATGACAGAGATGACGCAGAGGGCGACATTCACGCTAACCCTTGAACTTAACGAAGCATAATGTGCATAGACAAAAAAGAAAACAGAAAAGAAGAAAAAGAAGCAGCTCAAGTTGATGCAGTAGAACGAGAAGACGGTGCGCTGTCGGCTCTGTGAGTTGCTTTCTCTCTCAATCTATCAAAATTCACAATTTGAATTTCTTGGGAAGCTCTTGACGACGACTTGGCAGTCTTGATGAACTCCTGTTGTCGTTGCTGCTGTTGTTGTTGTTGTTGCTGTTGCTGTTGTTGCTGTTGTTGTTGGTCAGCAGCAACAGCAGCAGCAACAGCTCTTGAGCCTGGTCTTTTGTGGCACTTGAGCGCGCCGAGAGTGAGGCAGGAAAAAGGAAATTCCAATTATGCTGCAAGTCTGGCCGTGCGTAGAAAAAGAATTGTTGCCACGTCTTTTATGTGCAGCGCCCCGCCGCCCCGGCTCCAGCTGCCCAGCCCCTTACCCTGACTCAACTGTTGTCGCCTGCAGCAGTTTCTATGCCGCTCTCTGCTAACTCTCTCTCTCTCTCTCCCTCTCCCTCTCTTTTTCACTCCTGCTTGTTTTAATTTTAATCCACTAAGGGGCATTTTTACACAGCCCCGCCTCCCAGTGAATCGCCCACTTTTGCTAGAATCGTCTTTTGTTAATGTTTTTTATTTTTTCTTGCCCGCTTTTGTTGTCGTTTTGGTTCTAAGCCGCGCATTCGCTTTTACGGAACTCAACTAGAAATTTAGAAACAACAATAACAGCATTAAAAAGAAAGAAAGTGCCTGTTATTAGTTAAATGTACTAGAAAAGCGAACAGAATTTAGCAAATCATTGGCCAGCTAAGGCACGTTGATTGACGAAGTTTTTCCATAAATTCCTGAACTAGAAATCGATAGAATAGAATGGTCAATATGGGCTTTGTTCGATTCGAGTTGGAGATCAACTCGTAGATCGTAGTAGATATAGATATAGATATAGATACATAGATATAGATATAGATACAGATATAGATATAGATATAGATATAGATATAGATATAGATATAGA